GTTGAAATAAAAAGTTACTAGTTACCGATAAAATATAACTAAATAAAGTTAAAAGATAAGAGTCTAAAAATGTAACTAGATAAAGTTAAAATTATTTAACTTTTTAACTTTTTAACTTAACTTTTATCTTTTTAACTAGACACTACCCAACCTTGGTTTTCACCTTTCTAAGATAATCTCTGAGGTGAATTTTGAGCACTCTTTTGAATTAATTTCTCTCGATGTCATATCTTTTTCTCCAACGTTCCTCTCGACTTAGTTATCAATGGTTTGGAAACAAGATGACATCTTATAAGCAAAGAAACGTCTTTACCTAAAGAAGAATTTTTTACGGCTATTAAATTTGTGTACAACTCTACTTTTTTTAGTTTTAATAACCATTTTTATAAACAGACCTTTGGCGCACCGATGGGCTCTCTTCTCTTTCCCATTTTAGCTGACATCGTCATGCAAGATCTCGAACAGAACATTATCAATTCTTTGCCTTTTCAACTTTCTTTCTATGTTCGATATGTAGACGATATAGCTCTAATGGTTCCTGGTGACATGTTTGATTTAGTTCTTTATCTTTTTAATTCCTACTATCCTCGTCTTCAATTTACCATAGAAGTAGGTTATAAGAAACTGAATTTTCTGGACATCACTATAATTAAGAGAAATAATTCTTTACTACATGACTGGTATCATATAAACCGACCTTTTCTGGCAGATACTTTAATTTCTATTCCAACCATTCAATTAGCTAGAAAAAAGGCACAGTGATAGGTCTTATCGATAGAGCCTTCTTTTTATCCCATCCTGACTTTCATAATAAAAACTTTGACTACATTATTAACATACTCATTGACAATAATTACCTTCTTGACTTTATTTATAATATTTATAAAAAAACTAAAATACAATTTTTTAAAGAATAATGACTTAAAGACCTTTTTGACTAATAACATCCTTGACGAAAAACCTCCTCGTTGGTTTGTGATGCCTTATATACATAATTTCTCTGAAAAATTTCCGTCAACCTTCTCCAAAGAGACTGACACACAACCTGATTTCTACAGTCTTAACAAATTGTCCAGGTTCATTAAAGTACAAAAAGATCCTTTACCTCCCCTTTTTTGTCCTTTTGTTGTTTATAAAATTAACTGCAATGATTGTGAGGCTTTCTATGTAGGCCAGACTGGTAGAGTTTTGCAGTCCAGAATCAACGACCACAAAAATCATTAAACGTAACACTACACAAACCTCTGTTATCACAGAATTAATTATTCTCACGATTTTTCGTGGGAAAATGTCAAGATTCTGGATTGTGAAAAACATTATCATAAGCGATTAATTTCTGAAACACTATACATCAAGAAACAAACACACGGCCTCAATTTGCATAGTGACACGGAGAATCTGGACAAATCATATTTACTGTTTGTCTTAATATAGCTTAAACTTTTCTTTGCGCATACTTTGACCTCTGAATTTACTGTTCATTTTGATGTATTTTTCAAATTTCAATCAGCAATTGACAGCTCACGTGTTAACATGTATCCTCATCTCGTTACACGACGACTTTAATAACAGTATATTAGTTTACATATCAATTTTACAATGCGTATTTTGTATTAAAAATTATTTTTTTTCTTTGAAATCTATGTCAAGGTCAATAAAATCTTTAGTTAATGTCTCCCTAGCTTTCCGTAGTATTAACAAACTTGACATATTTATTAAAGCAATTAAAGATCCCTTAAAGAAAGAACAAAATAAGAATTTAGTTTACTGCCTTGAGTGCACTTCTTGCAATGCTTCTTATGTGGGCCAGACCAAGAGGAAATTAAAAACCAGAATTACAGAACACAAGAATCAAATCAATCGAAAACATTTAGATCCATCTGTTGTTACTGAACATCGCCTTCAAACAGGGCATGATTTTAATTGGAATAATGTACGTATCATGGATCGTGAAAACCATTATAATAAACGATTAATTTCTGAAATGATTCAAATTAAGCTACAAAATAATGCGATTAATATTATGTCAGATACTGAACAATTAAAACCTTATTTCTCGTTTCTGGAAATATACAAATCGAAGTGATGGTTCACCTTTAAAGACTTTATTATTGTTATTGTGGTGGGGAACACAAGTATTTATATATCCGAACTTTGTAAAGGCTGTACATCAGTTGTGTAGTTTATGTTTCTTGTGTACTATCTAACTTGAGACATGGAAAGAGGACATTTTTGGTTTTTCAAAACACTTTGATGAATATCAACTAATTATTTGATATCTCTTCCTTATTGCAAGGTGATGTGCTGCCTATATTTTTCTTAATGGTGAGTTGTAATTATTGCTTGGTATCTTTTTTCTACTGTTTCTTTGATTTTTGTAATTTTTATATTAATTTCTTTATGTAGATTTTTGTATGCCACTGAAGATGACTCAAACCAAGAGTCGAAACGTTTGGCATGTTTAAATAAAGATTCTTGTTCATACATCAACACCTAGTATTTCACTCCGTATCGGCTCTTTCTGCGATATATTTATAACGGAAAATGATTTTCCTAAAGCACTCAAACGTGCTTTTATAAAATATAATATTATCATCAATACTATCTTCAGTTTACGTTGAACGTTCAGTGCAGGAAGACTCGTTTTTGATAATCTTCGAGGAATAATATTAGATAAAAATTAAAAAAAAAAAGGCTTTATTATTTAAATTTAATAAGTTTTTGTAAACACAATAATAAATATGTATCTATCGACAAAAACTATATATCTGTAGAAATATATCTATAAATATATCTATTTATCTATAAACAAACCAATGTATCAAAACATTGTGTTTCTATAATTTCTAAAATATATACAGTTTCTAAAATATACAAAAAGTATATTTCTAAATTAATTATTTAATATGTATAAAGTATATTTCTAAATTAAGTGTATATTTATTATTTTTCTTATTTTTCTTATTTGTAAGACTAAAACACTAAACTCATTTTAAAAAAATTTAATTTTTAACTTTTTAATTACTTTTTTTTATTAATTTAACTTTTAATCAATTAATTTTATTATGGGTTAACTTGTATCTTAACTAAATTACATTTTCAAGGTCTTTAACTTTAACTTAACTTAGTTAAAAAAAAAACTTAACTTACCCAACTCTGTTGTTTACTGATTTTGGCGTTCAATTTAATATATTTCCATCTATTGGCTATACTATCTAAATCTAGTTGAATTGGAATGTTAGTGAACATAGAAACTACGTCCAATGAGCAGAGTGTGTGCTTTACTC